TCTTTTTTTTTTTTGCCTCAATTAACAAAGTAAATAAAAAGTGTCAATTTAATTATTCAATTCATTTTTTATTTCTTTATTTCTATAACGAACAACATTGTAATAATAATGATGCAATATTTGCAAAAATGTAATATGAAACTATTGTTTATTACTTTCGGTAAGTCTTTTCCAATATTTATATCATTCATTTTTCATACTGTAATGGTAGAAATCATTCTAGTAATAACATATGATTAGTATTATGATTAGTAATTGATAATTATAAGTTATTAATTTAATTTACCTTTCACATTTACCGTAACATTTATGAAAATTATCTCAAACCGAATTCAAAATTTTCAATAATAACTAATAAAACTTTTATTTAATATATTTTATAACTAGAAAAAAGTTAATAGCAATTTATTTGTATTATTCAACAATACGATAATTAAAATAATTTTTTAATTACTGTAACTTTAATTTGCAATTTTTTTCCGATATTAAGCATTTAATTGAAATTAATAAATTAATTATGAATTGATGAATAAATATGAATGAAAACGTACGAATAAAAAATAGCAAAATGTTTCATCATTATCTTGCATAGAATTTGTCCTCAGATCAAATTTTTGATATTTTAATGGTAAACACCTGCCCTATAATTCGATTCCTTATAAGTGAATTGTTCAGTGAAGCATAGGAAAGGTATGATAAGGCTTATATGATCATTTTTTTGAGGATATAATTAAGTACTTTAATTACTAAGTATTGCATAAATTAATCACATGTATTGGTAATTTTCACACATTAATCTTATGAAGCTTAGAAAGAAAAAAAAATGAATGAAACAATAATGTAAGCAAAAAATAAAATCATATAATCTTCTCTTTGAATTTGCAAATTTTTTTCTATTTATTTTAAAAACTAATGTTGTTTTTACGAAATGTTATAGTAAGATTAGAATTAAGTACCTCATATGGTAATTGAATAATATTTCAATAATGGTATTTGTTAATCATTTCCTATTCTTATAATTCGATTTTATTCACTTAATCGAAATTCCATCATATCTACTTTTTTTTTTGTTAAACTCGAATAATACTCGAATAATCGAATAATGTTAAACTGGAAAAACGTGTTAAACTCGAATAATTGAATAATATTTCAATAATGGTATTTGTTAATCATTTCCTATTCATATAATTCGATTTTATTTACTTGATCAAAATTCCATCATATTACTTTTTTTGTGTTAAACTTGTAAATCATTATAGCATACGATGAAACTTTTTGTCTAAAAAAATAAAATAAAAATAAATTTACAAATTATGAAATTGTTTTGTTGGGAAAATTCAATCATTTCTTTAAAAAATATTTAAAATTTTTTCTTTTTAATAAATTTTAAGAGACAGTAATTTTTTTTTTTCTTTTACAATCCTAATCTTTCATCTTCTTTTTCATTTTTTTTTCTTAGCCAAATTTTGAAAAAATTTATATGAAAAAGGATGGATTTAATGATAGATTCATCTTGCATATTATATTGCCGAACATATCATTCGGTACCTTATTATTAAGTATTTCGATTTTTTTCTTTTTTTTATTAATATTTTTATTTGGTGCCAATATTATGGAAGGGAATATTGGCAAAATAAATGGAAATTACTGGAAGCATTATCAGATATTTCAATTTGTATTTACTTAAAAATTTTTAAAATATTTTTTGGTTCATTTTCTTTGAACTTTTTAAAAATATGTTGGATAATTAAAATTAAACAACTTTACAATTTTATTACGAAATTGAAATCACTCTGTTTAATTACTTGAATTAAATTCCAAATAATTATTTAAATATCTTTTCTTATTTTTTTCTTTTTAAATATTGTTAAATAATATTTAAATATCGTTTTCGGGAAGAAATTTATTGTTGCATTCCTATTCAGTAAAATTATTTATTAACTGTAGAAAATTATATTGTTAAATTATAATTGATCATAATGGCTAGAATTAAAATTATAATTAATTAAAAGCATATTTAATTATTCTATTCGTTGCACACACCCAAAAATTTAATGTGGGATATGTTATCAACTTTTCATATCATATCATTACTATCCCTTAATCATTCTTAATTAATTATCCATTGTTAATTACTACCAGCAGTAATTACTTTCTTATAGATATATTTTCTCACTTATTATTGACATTATTACCAGTTCTTCTCACCTGTAAAAGCGAATAATTACTGTCACTTAATGAATCTCTCATTTCGTATGCTAATTTCTGCTATTAATTTTTGACATTAATTAGTTAACTGCTGTTCATTTCATTTTTTAAAATGGAACAATATCAAATTAGTTCTACTTATTGATAAAAAATTTCAATTCCCATAGTCAATGTGACATTTTATGTGTCAAAAGCTATCAACAAATGCAAAATGATCTCTTATATCAAATATTCTGATAAATTTTTGACATTTGATTGAAGACCGAGAAAAACCGGGAGTTAAAAAAGGAAGAAGGAAAAAAGGAAAGTGTTTCGAGGTAAATATTATATTGAACTTGATTAAGAATGGGAAACATCAGTAAAAGATGATAAGTTTGTCAACAGTATGTCAAACAAAGGTTGCCAGAAACTTTGTGGTGATGATTATTGGACAAACCGGTAATTAAAAATGGCTTTGATGACATTTAATGACATTGACTTGACAGGTGTAAGATGACGATTACTTCTGAAAATTCTTCAAACTATTTTGTGTGAAAAGGTGAAAGAAAAAAAAAACGATAATTTTTTCTTCTTGTTTGATCCCATTTTATCAATTATTTCTTATTGTATGAGCAAAAATTGATTTGTTTAAAATTAGTCGAGAAAAAAAGTTCGACAAAGTTTTTTTTTTTTAAATCAATTTGAAATATTTCTCCCCAACACTATCATTTTATATGTTTTTTGTTTTCTTTTCTTCGTTTTAAATTTAAATTTTTAAAATTTCTCTAAAAGTATGAAATGTTTCGAAAGAAGAATTGTAAAAAATTATTTGTTATATTTGAAAAAAAAAGAAAAATTTGAGATTTTAACGGAAGTTTAAATTCAAAATTTTAATTGCACATTTTACTATTTCTGATTTAATTCTTATTTATATTAAATACTAATGAATTGGAATAAATGAAACAGAAAAGCAAATTTTCAATAAATAAAATTAATCAATTTATTTTTATCGTCTTTAAAATTTTTAATCAATTTAAGGATGCAATTGAAAATACAATGCGAAAATTTAATTACAAAAAAAAAATAAATTTTCAATGAATTTTTTTTTTAAAGTTGTTTACAATTACAATGGACTTATTCTATGATCTTCAATAAAATTTAAAAGCTTAAAGCACGCAATATATGGCTAATAAAATAGATTTCATCTTAAAAGAAGCATTTTAGAAAGTTTGAAGGAAGAAATATTTAAATTACTTTAAAGTAACTACTATGAAATGAGGGATTTTGAAAAATAAAAAGCGAATTCTAAATTTATTGAAATCTATTTAATTTAGCGTAAATTTTTTAACACGTCATTTATCAAATTAGCTTTAAAGTTACTACTATGAAATGAGGGATTTTGAAAAATAAAAAACGAATTTTAAATTTATTTAATTTAGTACAAATTTTTTAACACGTCTATTCATTTATCAAATTAAAATTATGCTTATTTGAAACGGATCCAATTTGTTAAATTTTCGTTTGTGTTATTACCGAAATTTTTATTTGAAATTTTTTAATTTAATAAAAAATTTTACTTCAAAATTGAATTTAAATTCAATGAAGTATTTCCGTGTACTAAATTCAATGTTTTTTTTTTTGAAAAATTTTTGAAATTTACAATTCTTTCCAATATTACTGGAATTAAATTGGAATTCAAATTAAATTTTATCCAATATTTTTTTAAATTATCATAGACAAATTATTGTAAATTTTAGCATGCTTACATCGATATATTGCAAATTTTCCGTTTGCTTTTGCTCATAGTTATCCATTTATACCAACCAATGATGCGACAATTCCATATGGTGGCGGTATTCCAACAGCTATTCATCATTGTTCCGGACAATCAATTATTGATCCAAATGAATACGATTTCGAAAGTATGGCTCTAAAGGTTACTGTTTTTAAAAATTTAATTTCTGAAGTTTTTCTAAAATTTTTAAAACTTTAATTTTATTATTTCAAATTGTAAAAGAAATAATTTTTAACCAAAAATATGTCGTTTTTTTTCTATTTAACAAAATTTGATTATTGTTTCAATATTTTCTAAATTTCAATTTTCATCTTTCTATTCATTGATGATAAATTAAACTATTTCAACTTTACTTTTTAATTATAACCTTTTTTTTCTTTTTGTATATTGAAATTTATTTAAATTTCATACAATTGTATTATTTAATTTAAATGAAATTTTAGGCACTTGGTGGTTTCATTTTGATATTAAATGAGAATGGTGATATTTATTACGTTTCAGAAAATATTGAAACATATCTTGGATTTCATCAGGTAACTCAAAATAAAATTTGTAATATCAAAAAATAAAAATAAAAACAAAAAAAAACTTACTTTAAATTTTCAATCATCATATAAACACGATTTACAATTTTTTAAATTAAAATAAAATTTAACAAATATAAGTCACGTAATTGATAATGATAAATAATAGCTGTACAAAAGCTATCTTTATTATAAGTTTATAAAAATTCTTTATGATGAGCGGAAAGAAAAGACATTGATCAATAGCAACATTATTTTAGCTAATTAATAGTGATTTTCGAGAAGTTGAATGTTAGTTTTCTTTCAAATTAAAAATAATCTCTTTAATCAATTATGCTTGCTTAATTAATTATGCTTATTTCAGCAAAAAAAAAAAAAAAAGGAAAAATGAAACAAATTATCCTCATATATCTTTTCAGTCAGATATTCTTCATCAATCTTTATTTGAAATGATACATTCAGAGGATCGTGAAGATATTAAATTACAGTTAGCCTGGAATTACAATGTTCCACTTCATGTAACCTGTTTACAAGATATCCTTACACATGGTATGCAATTATTTATCATTTGCCATATCATACTAACAATAAAAATTTCATATCAAAATAAAATAATTTATATCAATTTCCTTTTTTTTTTTTTTGACTTTTTAAATTTATTTTCAGGTGGTATGCCTTATTTAGAACGAAATGTTAATGCTCGATTTCGTTGTTTATTGGATAATACTTGCGGATTTCTTGGTTTTTTTTTTCTAAATTTACATTATCTCATACTGTTTCAATTTAAAATTAATTTTAACTTATTTTAATTGGCAAGTAAATTATCTCACATTGAGAGAAATTATTATCCGCAGGTGAATAAACTTAAATTAATCTGTAACTCATTATCTCGTACCGTTTTAATTTGAAATCAAATTCAATTTATTTTAATTAGTAAATGAATTATCTCAGGTTAAGTGAAACTATTATAAACGTAGATGAATACACGTAAATGTATTTTGTAACATTTTGGTATTTAAAAATAAATCATAAAAGTATAAAGATAAAAATATAATTTATTCATTCGTATCAAATTATATGCTATCAATGATTACCTTTTTTTTTTTTTCTTAATTAATTTCTATTTACAGAGGATAGACGTACGTGGAAAATTAATGAGTCTTCACGGTTTACCACATTCATATCTATTGAATAGGGTTGAAAATCGTTCTTCTGGTAATATCGTTCTTGGTTTAGTTGCTATTTGTAGGTATGCATATATCATTTACAGTTTTATCTCATCTAACAGATTT